GTAACAACAGATATTATAGCAATGACACATATCATCTGGTATGCTGGACACTTATAGACTATTGCATCTGTGTAACAACAGATATTATAGCAATGACACATATCATCTGGTATACTGGACACTTATAGACTATTGCATCTGTATAACAACAGATATTATAGCATTGACACATATCATCTGGTATACTGGACACTTATAGACTATTGCATCTGTATAACAACAGATATTATAGCAATGACACATATCATCTGGTATGCTGGACACTTATAGACTATTGCATCTGTATAACAACAGATATTATAGCAATGACACATATCATCTGGTATACTGGACACTTATAGACTATTGCATCTGTGTAACAACAGATATTATAGCATTGACACATATCATCTGGTATACTGGACACTTATAGACTATTGCATCTGTGTAACAACATATTTTACAGCAATGACACTTATCATCTGGTATACTGGACACTTATAGACTATTGCATCTGTATAACAACAGATATTATAGCATTGACACATATCATCTGGTATGCTGGACACTTATAGACTATTGCATCTGTGTAACAACAGATATTATAGCAATGACACATCTCATCTGGTATGCTGAACACATTTCAGACTATTGCATCTGTGTAACAACATATTTTACAGCAATGACACTTATCATTTGGTATGCTGGACACTTACAGACTATTGAATCTGTGTAACAACAGATATTACAGCAACGACACATCTCATCTGGTATGCTGGACACTTCCAGACTATTACATCCTTGAGACTTCCCACAGCAGATACATGACTTCAAGTACTCCCCACTGGTGTTAGTTCCAGTGAATGAGGTAACCATTCACAAGAAAAGTGACGTGAAATTATTTGTTTCAAAAAGTGATCCTGTAAGACGTGTCTCACCTGGTTACCAATATGTGGAGGGGCACCGTACTACCTTTAAACCGAAGGGTCTATCACATACCATACTACCTGTAAACTGTACGGTCTATCACATACCATACTACCTGTAAACTGTACAGTCTGTCATATACTGTACTACATGTAAACCATAGGGTCTGTCACATACCGTACTTCCTGTACACCATAGGGTCTGTCACATACCGTACTTCCTGTAAACCATAGGGTCTGTCACATACCGTACTTCCTGTAAACCATAGGGTCTGTCACATACCGTACTTCCTGTAAGCCATAGGGTCTGTCACATAC